GTAGGGATTTGAGCCCTTGAAACAATTACCAGACAGTTCGTTTCAAAATGAAGGTGGTTAAATTGCATCTATTCGTGCTCGTGTCGAATTCTTACTTTTGTTTTCTAATATTTTTTATAACTCTTAAATCTTTAGACTTCGATCCTGACTCTTCAAGAGAAAACAATTCACAACTTGTATCTTCCTTGGACGCCATATATTTAGCAAGTTTATTTCAAAGTTTAGAACAAGATAAACTTAATGGCGAAGATTTCATTCTTGAATTTGATAAATTATTAAAAGAAAAAACTGTTCCGGAAAAATTGAAGGAAACTTTTAAATTACATAAGTTGGAAAAGTTTATAGGAGGCACGTATTAAATGATGACTATTATTAACATACATCTTTCAAAATCTTTCAAAATCTTTCAAATTCTGATTTTTTTTTCAATTCCAGAATTTCGCTGCGCTCTGATCCGTTCGATAATGTTACAAGGTATTATGTATCTGATAGAAGAACATATATGCTTTCATGCTTATTTTCCTAGAGAACAGGTATTTATTTACTGAGAAAATCTCACTTTTAGTACACTTTTAGTACACTAAGTGATACATGCGTCCATTTTTGGTAAACATATTAAATAATATTGATTTCTCGTAATACAGGATGTTGTTCTGAAAGACGGTTTTCTTTCAAAGCGGAGTTCATATGGATTATATGAAAGATACTTTTTTTCTCTTCAAAACGACATACTTGTATATTATCATGATCAGTTGGTATGTTACCAGCTTATTCGGTTTTAAGCAAACACGTGACAGAATAATCGTTACACCATTTTACTATTTAGGATCAATATTGTCCGTTGGAGATTATCGATCTAAAGTATGCTGTTAGGGTTGAAAAAGATAGTAACAAGAATAAGTTCAAGATTGTTACCCCAAAACGTACTTATCTTTTTCAAGCCGATTCTACCACATCGATGGAAGAATGGGTAACACAACTGCAAAGGTCGTTAGTTCGCGCCAACAATGATGGTGATCACGTAAAGGTTATTAATGTTAAATTCTTTAACCTATTAATCTATTGATATATTTGGTGTCATGTTTCTAAATTTATCTTTTTCTTCGTGATACATTCTCGATACATTCTTGATACATTCTTGATGAAAGATTGTAATTCCAATCGAAAGTATCACTGATATTGACAATAAATTAACTTCGAGTTTTCAAGATACAATTCGAATAAAAACCATTGATCAAGATGAAAATGAAGATGAGGTAATCAATTATACTTATGGTGTTGAAAACTTTATCTTTTTATTAGTATACTAAATCTTTGATCGGTATTTCTTAGTATTTATTTGCGTTTGTTGTGGATAGTCAAACCCTATTTGAAAAACTTCAAATTCTTTGGAGTCAGTTTAAGGGGCAGAATTTATCTCGTACGCAAAGCTATAAACGGCCTCTTTCTCCAGAATTAACTATTGCTGGCTTACCGATAAATGCGATAAATGTTTTTTCTGGATGGAATCCATTCTCCATTAATAAACGGAGAAAAAGTGTAGATGAAACATTAACGACTACAACAAGATCCGTCTCTAAGTCAGTACAATCCTCAAGTTCAACTTTGGATTTACCGGCTGAACGTGAAGTTCAATCCAGTGTAAAGAAAAATCTTACGCGCCGCGTTAACACATTAATTCAAAACCCAATAAAGTATATGAGTTCTTCGTTCAATAAAAGTCCGGAAGATGAAACAAAAGAACGTTTCAGGGAACATTTTGCTTTACCTGAAAATGAAAATCTGCATGCCGGTATGAAAAATTATTTATTTAATTGTTATCTATCATTATTGTTTGTCTATCATTGTTTATCTATCATTGTTGTTTATAAACGCCAACAAAATTTCTTTGCAGTATTCTACGGATATTATCTTCGTATGATTCCGTTATATGGCAAGTTTTATGTTTCCGATAATTACATCTGTTATAAATCTAGAGTACCTGGTCAAACAACAAAAGTATATAAATTTTATATTCATCATTGAATCTATGGTTATCATAATGTTAACGGCATTTTTAATAGATAAAACTACCACTATCTGCCATTTATTATTACGAGAAACAAAATCCAACAATTTTGGGATATTATGGGCTGGAAATTTTGACTAATTCTCAACAGGAGATGTTCTTTGAATTTGGATTTAAGGATATAAGAGATAATTTTGTAGATCTGTTAAAGCGCTTAAGGAATGCGGATAAGAGACGAATACCATCAGATGGTTCTGGAAACACTGACGAAAGCCATACGTAATTTTTTTTTTTTTTATTTGTTAAATGGGATATAATATAGTATAGGTGACACCTTAATAAATAATCAATTGATTTAAAGTAGGTGTCACTTATAGATAATCAATTGATTTAAAGTAGGTGTCACCTATACTATATGTTACCCGTTAAATGATATACGTTTATTATTTTGTGCAAAACTTAATACCTATTAATAGCATTCAATCATTATTTTTATAGCATCATTCAAAATGCTTTTATCAAAGAACAATTGTCATGGAAAAAAATGTCTGAAAATTATCCACTTGGCTCGCCAAAAGCATCGAATTATAATGATACTGGTAATATAATAGGTGCACCGAAACTCGACAAAGCTATGCATATTACATGCTTGACTATTGGCTCCAGAGGTGACGTGCAGGTATACTTTTGTAATGAAAATTTTTTAGTTATTCCTTATATCTGATAATGTGTCTCATTTTCCTTGCCATTAATATATATAGCCATACATTGCCCTTGCTAAGGGATTAATAAAAGAAGGACATACAGTGAGAATTGCCACACATGGTGAATATAAAGATTGGGTTGAAAGTCATGGTATCCAATTCGGCTATGTAGGTGGGAATCCGGCAGAACTAATGGTAATTATTATTATTTTATAAAAAAAAATCCATTCATTAAGTATTATGATAATTAATCAATTAAATATAATTTTTATTAGCGTATTTGCGTTGAAAATGGCATGTTCACTTTGGGATTTTTTAGAGAAGGGGTTACAAATGTAAGTTTTAAATTGAAATATCGTTCATAATACCCTGCGCCTTACTATTTGTTGTTCATTATAATTTCCTGCGTAATCATATCATATCATGATCGGGAATCTTCCCGGTCACAGATAATCACGTGAAAATTATAATAAAGGTAGGCATGAACAACGTAAGGCAGGGTATTATTCATTTATTTTTCTGTGAGGAGTTTAAAATTACAACAGAGAATTCCCGATGATCATATGGTACTGGGCCATCTGTATCCTATGATCATCGGGAATCTCTGTTGTAATTTTAAACTCCTCACAGGATACTAATAATTTTGCATATAAAAGTATGTTAATTTTTTGTCGTTGTTATAATTTTATTTAGTTTCGCGGTTGGTTGGATGACTTACTGAAAACTTCATGGGAGGCGTGTCAGGTAATTGTTTTTAACATTCCATCGACTCCAATGATCAATGACTATATTGTATGACATTCCATCTTTAATTTACAGGGTACCGATTTGATTATAGAATCACCCAGTGCTATGGCAGGCATTCACATTGCAGAAGCTCTCGGTATTTGTTTGGAAATTTTTTTTGAATTTTTAGTTTGAATTCAAATTATTTAAATTATTTAAATTATTTAAATTATTTACAAAATTCCAATTATTTACAATAAACTCATTTATTAGAAATTCCTTATTTTCGTGCATTTACCATGCCATGGACAAGAACAAGAGAATACCCTCATGCATTTGCCGTACCGTACCATGATCTTAAAGCTCCCTACAATTATTCATCGTATGTTCTTATAGAAAATGCATTTTGGCGTGGGATTGCTCCGCAAGTAAACAGATGGAGGAAAAATACATTAAACTTACGTGGTACCAATATGGATAAAATGGATGCTGGCACCGTACCATTTTTATATAATTTTAGTTCGAGTATTGTTCCTCGACCATACGATTGGAGTGATTGGATATGTATCACTGGGTATTGGTTTTTGGATAATCCAGAAATTGGTTGGGAAGCACCTAAAGAATTATTAGAATTTTTAGATAATAATCGTCATAATAATAAAAAGATAGTATATATTGGATTCGGATCAATAGTTGTAGATGATCCAAAAGCTTTAACAAAAACAATAGTTGAGGCCGTGGTAAAGAGTGGTGTTTCTGCTATTTTATCAAAAGGTTGGAGTGATAGGTTACATCAAGGAAAGACTGATAATAATGAGGAAGAAGAATATCCTTCATGTATCTTTCCGGTAAAATCTGTACCGCATGATTGGTTATTTAAACAAATCGATGCTGTGGTGCATCATGGTGGTGCGGGAACTACTGCAGCAGGTTTACGGGCTGGAAAACCCACTATTATCAGACCATTCTTTGGTGATCAATTCTTTTGGGGTGATCGTATAGAAAGTATGGGAATTGGAATTCATCTAAGAAAGTTAACTGTAGATAAACTCTCCGATTGCCTTATCAAAGTCACAACGGATGAACATATGATTAAAAAAGCTGAATTGGTAGGAAATAATATAGAAAAAGAAGACGGTGTATTGAATGCAATACAAGCAATATATAAACATATGGATCATGCTAAGCAAAGAATTATTTCACAGCGGCAGCGAGCTGCCGCTACTGGTAGTCAACTATTACCATTCGGTATTGATGATACAATTGTGTTTGATTTTAAATTGGCTGCTGCGTTAAAAAAGATTGTTGGATTCCCTGTAAATGAACAGTCAGGAGATAGCGAGGTAAATTCACCGTTACCTATTGAAGATAATTGATTTTATCGGTCGGTCGACTTTCTATAAATAGTCAATTATTCTAATTACATGGAAAATAAGGTTACTATTTAAATGATTGCTATTTTATGGTGCGAACATCCATAAAAAAAAATTGTATCTAATCAATTAACGAATATGCATTTTGATAGTGTTTGATGAGATTTAACGAGCAACCACATTTTATTGAAAAGATATAATTTAAATGAACCATTCTTTCGGCATCATTAATAAGGTGGTTTTTTTTTTTGACAAACCAACACCTTTAGTGTAATTAGGCCATTGTTTTTCATTTTATTTTATCTATTAAAAAAATATTTATTTTATATATATATATATTTGTAAATGACATATCATGTAAATAAACAATTTAATATTTGAATTTAAAAGGTTATACTCTAATCAATTAATAATTTACAGTTACGTACCATAGAAAAAGACTTTATAGTTTTTAAATTTTATATTAAGAATATAAATTAATGAATTTTTATTCGTACCAATAGGTAAGTTATCCCGTATATAAAAAAAACAAAATTAATTTTAATCTTTAAAACTTTTTTCTTCTGATAATCTTATACTAACTTTTAGGTTTTATTATTATTTTATGATAGGTTTAAAAATTTATATATACTATCTTTTAGCTTTTCTGTTTTAGTATCTAAGGATAATTATTATTATTTCTAATCGATAGACTTTTCCGGGCAATTTTGTCAAAATTTGTTGGAAATTTGGTATAATCTTTTTTAAAATTTTAAAATAGAATTTTACTAATTTTATATAAGGTATTTGAAACTCGAATATAATTTATGCATAAATTAAAATATTATACATAGTAGCTAGAATTAAAAAAAGTATGTTGTATGAATAAGTTTAAGTAGATTTAAAACTTTTTAGAATTTTAGAGTTTACTGTGTATAAAATAAATCTATTTAAGAAATTTTAAATTTACTTAAATTTTATATAATTTTTTGATTTATTTTTTAGATTTTAAATTAACTTTTTTATTATTTATATAACCAAGTGTTCAAATACTTATGCGTATACAAATAGCAACTATCTAAAATTTTTAAAAAATATTAAAGTATACCATTGGGGTTTAACTTATATATTTTTGCTATAAAATTATAGTTATAAATTAACAAAAGATTAGATATATAAAGGTTCAAATTTTGGATAGCATAAGATTTTGTAGGTTTTGAGCATTTTTACTTAATATATCTAATGATTTTTTAGTTAGTTTTTAAAATATAGCAATTATAATATCAGATATATATTGAATACCATTGGTGTGTTTTAGAAAAAAAAATTTTTACATTAAAGTATTTTTATAAGAGTAATAAAAAATTAGAGATCTTATTTAGAAAATGAGATCTAATAATGTATAAGTAGTTATTAGAAAATTATAGAATTTAAGTTTTAGAACTTCTATAAAATATCGAAAAAATTTTAATATACTGTATATGTACATATGTTGAAAGCGGGAATGGAATCATAATAGAGTTCGGAATCCATTTAGATTAGAACAGAATAATTATACTAAAAATCCCAAATCAACTTAAATTTTGTTCCTACCTACGACATATATAGTAAACTTTAAATCAAAAATTTCTCACTACGTACGTACGTACGTACAAAGTGAGGTCCCTATATTTTAACAACTCAAATAAAATCTTCATAAGTATATATATATATATATATTGGCATGAAGTAATATATATCTGTATACTGTATATATTTACCAGCATTACAGCATTATTTTAAGACATGCAATATAAATAAAGCTAATAATTTAACCGATAAACCGTAATTTACGTATTGACAAAATTATTAGCTCTCTTTGAGTGTCTCGTGGCGTTATTTCGCGCAAATACTAAATACATATAAAAAGATTTTGATAACTATATACGTACATGATCAAATTGGATAATTCATAATGCTAATAATCGATCGAATATTAGATGGAATATTCGAATGCATATTGTTTTAACTTTAGACCTGCGGATCGATAATCGAAGATTGATGAGGAGATTCCAGATCTTTGATTAGATGTTTTAGATCATTTCGTGTGACGAAGCATTCATTCATATAATAATAATTTGCCTCGATCAAATAATATTTTTTTTATATTTATAAAGAAATTATTAATACTTCTCCAAGTAATTCAAATAATTTTTTATTAATGTGCTTTTTCAAATAATTCAAATAATTTTCTATTAAAAATTTTTTATATTAATAAATGTTTCGGTCAATCGTTGTGACAGTTGGTAGAAGTAGTAGGTTTGGTTGTAGAATTGGCGATAATAATATAATTAATGTGGGTAGTCTCTATTTTAACATTTCGAGAATAGAATATGTAGTATTATTTATTAATACTTACTCGTTTTAATAGCTGCGAACATATAGTACCACAACTCAACTTTTGACTAAAGTTAAAACCATGACCGAACAAAAGAAGGTACAGTAAAAACTTCTATTGCCCGTTATATTGCGTACCTTCTTTAAGTGTACTCTTTAGTTCAGTCTTAAAAAATGTATGCTTTTTTTTTCAAATTGACATTTGAGATATACATCTAGGATTTTTTTTTTTAAAAAGAATTTGAATATAACGTTTATTTTAAAATATACAGGTTACACATGCTGACACAGAAACAGCTCCAATAACGTCTCAATTGCTTGCAAAACAAGAAAAATACACCATTAATACATATCTTCGTCCACCTATTGTCCTTTCGCATGGTCAAGGTTGTCGCGTTTATGATTTAGCAAATAGAGAATATCTTGATTTCTCAGCTGGTATAGCAGTGAACGCGTTAGGTCATTCCGATCCTGAATTGGCAAGAGTAATTCATGAACAATCATTAAAACTTGTTCATTTGAGTAATCTATATCATAATGAATATGCTGGAGAACTTGCAGAGTTGTTAGTTGAATCTACACGTAGTGGAGGTGGATTTGAAGCATCTAAAGTATTTTTCACCAATTCCGGTACTGAAGCGAATGAAGGTGCATTAAAATTTGCAAGAAAATGGGGAAAATATGTTGGTAAAAAAAGTAATAGTATAAATGAAGAATTAAATATGAATAAATATGGTGTTGTGTCATTTTCAAATGCTTTTCATGGTAGATCTTTTGGATCGTTGTCAGCTACACCTGCACCTAAATATCAAAGTCCATTCGCACCGATGGTGCCAGGATTTGTAACTATACCTTATAATGATATTAGTAAGATTAATGAATATGTAACCGATAAAACTTGTGCTGTAATTATCGAGCCTATTCAAGGTGAAGGTGGAGTGTGGGAAGCTACTGTTCCATTTATTGAAGCTTTGAGAAAACGATGTGATGAAGTTGAAGCTTTACTAATTTTTGATGAAATTCAGGTATATAATCCTAAAGTTTATTTTTAAAAACTTTTTTTTAAGCTACAGGAAATGAACAACATCTAATTTATTTTATAAATTCATCAAGTGCGGTCTTGGTCGTACTGGAAAATTATGGGCACATCAAAATTATCCAAAATCTTGTCATCCAGATATTTTAACATTAGCTAAACCATTAGCCAATGGATTCCCAATTGGTGCTATTCTTACTACGGAACGAGTTGCTGATATAATTAAGATTGGTAACACAAATTTTTTTTATTATCAATAATCAAAAATTAATTTTAGCTATTTCATTAGTTAATAACCTATTCATTTTCAGGTGATCACGGTACGACTTTTGGTGGTAATCCGCTAGCATGCCGAGCAGCTCTTTCAGTAGTTTCACGTATAAATACACCCGAATTATTGACAAATGTTAATAATGTCGGATCCTATTTAAAATCATCATTTGAAAGGTTTGCGACTAAATACCCATCGCTTATAACAACTGTACGTGGACGAGGACTTATACTTGGAATACAATTTACTAAAAATCCGAGTGAGATGGTTAAGTTAGCTAGAGAACGAGGCTTATTAATCATTACTGCTGGAAATGATACCGTCAGAATTATACCTCCGTTAATATTGACAAAAGGAGAGGCAGAGAAGGGTGTAGCAATTTTGGAAGAATGTTTGGAAATTTTTGAGAAGGAACATAACTGAGATATGTGATACATTTTATTAATAATTCTTAGATTTCATTTATTTTTGTCGGGATTGTTAGGAACATTAGGTTTTATTTAATATATAAATAGAATCTTCTATAATTAATTGGTTAAATTTAATAAACTTTAAGTTTCTTATAGGTTAATTAATTAAGACCTGTCAGTCGTTATGCAATTTAATTAAAAACTTTATTATTGCAAATCTTTCCAATCAAAGTATAATTTAATTAACAACACACACATGTACTATGTATAATGCGACATAATTTTTTTTTTTTTTTTTTTATTACTAAAAAAGAAAAAAAAAAGAACAGCCAATTTTATTAATACAAATATTATACAGCAGAAACCAAGACCAAAATTGATCTCTATGACACTGTTTAATAATTTTTTTTTGTTTTTTTTTTGTTAAATATAAACCATACAAGAAAAAAAAAAAAAAAAAAGCTTCAAACAAGCGAAGCTTTATAACAAAAGTTGAAAGAAATGACGAAAATGTAATCATCTTTTAACAATATCTACAGCTTTTTTTTTAATAAACATACTTTATAGAAAAATACTTTCTCTAAATACCAAAAAAAAATCGGTAATTAGCCAAGGTGAGATTGTAGCTGATAATCGGCCATTGCCTGTTTATAAAATTGAAAATAAAATGAAATAATGACAAGTTTACAGATTAAGTAAATAAATAAACACTTACCACCGAGTTTAAATTTAATTGATCGGATGAATCCATGTGTGCAATAGTAATATAAAAGGATTTTTCTAGTTTATAGACGGTATCACCATGATAATAATTGGCAATTGCAGTTATTTCACAATTTTCAGCATCTATTCCTGGAGTACCAGTAAGAACATTATTCTCCCATCTGAGCCAATCTGGTAACCACGGAGAATGAAATACAGCTTTAATGGCTATAAAATAGGATATAAAAATATAATAATAAATAAATTTAAATTAAATTTAATTTACATATAATATACATAACAAATATATTAATAGAATTCTTACATTTAACATTCACTTGTGGATCCCAGACTCTAGGAGCATAAGTGTATTTTACGCCGACGTAAGCAATTTTATCCGGAATTCCAGCAATTTTACGAGTAAATTCACGGAATATCCAACCACCAGTTGGTGTCTTTTTTGCTTCAATATTCCATACGTGATTTCCCTTGGATTTTGCTTTTTTACCATCTTCGTTAAATCGAGAAATGTATCTGTAAAACGATAGAATTTTCGTTAGGTCAGAAAACTAATATACATAATTTAGAATAATTTAGAATATAAAATATAAACATACCTTTGTGTCCACAAATAATTCTTCACTTTTCTCAATGGTAAGATCTCTTCGGTATATCCATGACGAAGTAATTCTTCGTGAAAAGCATTAGTGAAAGCTTGTATACGAAATTTAAATGGACGAAAATCGGGCGACTCATCCAATTTTTGCATTTTTTTGGCCATCAAGGTTTGATGACTATGAATCAAAGTATTTATTTTAAATCATTAACACATTAAAATTAATTTAAATTAATCAAATTGATATGAATAAGTCGTACAGTACTTACATTTGTTCACCTTTAGAATCAGTCGCATTCACTATATAAAATAAAATATTAATAATATTATTTTAACAGTAATAACACAAATAAATGAATGATATTTACGATCTGAGCAAATAGTTTGTAAGAAATTAATAAAAATATCATCAAGATGTTTCAAAAGAACAGGATCCAACGGAGCATGTGTATGAGTGCGAGGAGCAGTGGGAAGCACACCAGCAGGTGCATAAACTGGTGGAGGAGGCTAGACAACGTAATTAAGAATCATTAATATCGAAATTATCAATTTAGAAGTTACAATAAAGAAAGAAATACCTGAGATGTGTAGGGATCATTCGGTAGCTCACGAACATTCACCGAATATACTTCGCTAGTGATTGTAGGTGTATCCTCCACGTTAGTTTTGACAGCTTTTTTCGGTTTTTCATATTTTCCTGGCATAGTACGCTAATACATATGGGAAAAATCAAAAAAAAAGGTTAGCAACGTAAGCTTAGATGCTTAGGTCAATCATTTTTGACCATTACAAATTCAATACCTTGACAGACTTGACGGCAGGTACCAATGGTTCCACGGTTACAGGAACAGAAGGCGGTGGTGGTGGTTGTGGAGTAGTAATTGTCGGTGTAAGTTGCTTTTATAAAGGAACATTTTATAGTTAATCTATAAAGAAATTTTTTTTTTTATAACATATCATCATAATATCTACCCTAATGTTCTAATTATTGAAAAAAAGAAAATCCTTTAACTCCTTATCCTATATTACATAATTACATAAACGGAAAAAAACGATCAAGACACGCACCAACTCAGCATATTTAGATTTAAAGTCTTTTAAAAGATTTATTGTTTTAGATATGTCTTCCAGGCGATTAAAAGCTTCACTTTCAACACCACGCTCAAATTGTTCTTTAGCTTCTTGAGCATTCAAGAAGATACTGAATAAAGCAAGAATATAAAATAATTTTTGAGTAATTTATTATAGTTTCAGAGTATATGTATTGAGAGAGAATGTCAAAACGCATTCGACAAGCCTCTAGATGTACAGGCCGTTTCTTTGCAGAATAAGCCTTCATTCTCAGACGCAAAGTATAAAAGGGATGCCATACCTCTCAAAAAGTTGGGTCAAATTCATTTTTAATATGTTTGTCAGTAGTGGGGTGGTTTCTTTGGGGTGGGGACAGTGAGGGGACGCTTTAAAAAAGAAGGCCTCTCGAAAGAGGGGCTTGAGAAAAAGATGATTTTGGAAACCAAATTAGCCATCGATTTTTTATTGAGTTTAATTGAAGTAGGTCATGTGAAATGCAAAAATGATGCAACATCATCTGACATGAAAGTCATATTACTATCCTGGTTAATCTCATTTGTTACCGTTAGATGTTAAATATAGATTTAAGTTTGCAACACAAGATTCATTGAATTTAGGCTTGGCTCTTTCATCTATTTATAGAAATTATTCTTAATTCTGGGGTAATTAATTTAGTTTAAATTTGGGGGAAATTGTCTTCATTATTATTGGAAAAAAGATTGTGATGCATTGTAAAAAAAAAAAAAACAAAAAAAAAAAATCAGGGTATTGTTTTTTTAATTAAATGCGCTGAAGATTCTCATAACAGTTTCGTTCGCATTTAATATACGTAGAAGCAATAGTTCGTTTAATGCATGATTTCCTCTTTTTTTAAATATGCATTATCAAATAATAACGTTATTACTTTGTATTTTATACATATTATAATATATGTGTGAAATAAGCGTATTCACAAATTATTAACGCTAACAGTAATTGATAATCCCTTGAATGCTAAATTACGTTCGTGTGACCCGTTGTTTTTCATTGTTTGCATAATAAGATGGTTATATCGATATCTCACATATGTATGTACGCAACAATAAAATACGTAATCAATTTTTACATATGAAACATAATAGGCAATCAATCATCTTTGTGTTTCAAAGACAAAAATAGCACTAATTATTTCCTATTTCTTGGCGTATACGTATCATTTTTTTTGTGTATATATATAACATCATCTTTCCTCATCAGATCAAAAAAAAAAAAACGCCCAACAATTTTTTTCAAAAAATGAACGGTCTTCGAAAGATCAATAGCTTTATTCGTGCCAGAAAATATAAACGAAAAGCTCGAAAATGTGTTTATATTTACACACCACTACCTAGTAACAAGTTTGGATACATAATAGAATATAGGCGACCTGAATTTAGTGAAATATTCTATTATAAATATAAGAAAAATGCCGATAACACTTTGACAAAGTACGGATACTTGGTTTCTGACCCTGGTATAAGTTTTGGTCACAAAAATAATCGTATCGAAAATAATGAAAATAAAGGACTTTGGACAGATAAAGATAAAGATTGCATATTTTATCAAACCTTTGCCGATAAAACACAAATCGAGCTTGAATACCGTTGGATGAACGAAATAAGAAATAAAGGTCGTTTGGAAATTTATCCGAATGATATTGATAATAATAATTATGATAATGAATGGGTTGATGTAATGCAGCATAATAATAAAGTTTATATTACTGATAACATACAACGTCGAAGAATTGCTGAAGTTTTAGAAAAATTTGATAGTAATTATAGTAATTTTGTTGATAATAACATGAAATTGTCTACTCAAGATCCTGAAAGTAAAGATTATCAACGTCCTCAATTAAAGACTGTGGATCTACCTATTTCTCAAGATCCTGAAAGTAAAGATCATCAACGTCCTCGATTAAAGACTGTGGGTCTACCTATTTCTCAACCAAAGACTTCAGATGATAAACAATCTTCTAATGCTGATGAGTTTTCACCTCTAATTACTCCAATAACTCCTCCATCTTCTCCAAGTGAAATGTACTCTACTGGGAAACCAAATAGTTTATTAAATATGAATATAAAACAACGTCATAAAAGAATAGCATCCAAAGATAGTGCAAAAAGCATTTCTTCAAAAAATAGTCAAACTACTACTACTGCCATTAAACCTCGAAAACTTGTTCATTTAACACATCCTAAGTTCAGTAGAAATCCCCCTATGGTACATATATTTGACCCTGAAGATTCTTTGATTTTTAAAAATTGCAAATGTGAACATTGTATTATTGGTCAATATAATGAATAATTACTATGGAAAATTCTAGGCATCTCTAGCTAGAGATGTTTAACTTATACATCTCTGGCCTAAAACTATGCCCGTTCATATGATATGACCTTGATTAGGTTTAGGTCACATAGGGTTAGGGTGAAGGAAGTACTATATATGTAAAATTGCCTTCCCGACATTTTAATTAGTACCCCGAAATATTATCGTTAGGCATCTCTAAGTATCTCTAGCTAGAGATGCCTAGAAATACCCAAGAAAAGAAAATTTTTTAGATTACACGCCTTCTCTTTGTAATACAATTCTATATTTCATATTCTGTAAATCTGTAAATAAATAGACACCGGTGTCTTGTCACGTAGTCCATGTTATTTAGTTCATGTGATTTTGATTATGGTATAGTAAAGTAAAAAGTTTTTTTTTATAAACATAAATACAAATTTTATAAAAATTCCTACAATAGAAAATTTTCAAAGTGTCCAATTATTAAAAAAAATTTTTTTACTCTTTTTTTAAAAACAAAAAATAATAATTACAATCATCTATCTCATTTATCTTTTTAATTAATCTTTTCTATCATATTCAATAATCTCCCATAAAATCCTTACAAGCTTCGTATGTTACGAAACTTACACTAATAGCTGGCGCAACTTTTAAATAGTTTGGTACCATCCCTTTATATAATCCTCGTATCCCCTCCCTTTTTATCAATTGCGTTAGCCCATCCCACGTATTACTATATGTATAGTCTAACTCTTTCATCCCTGTTACTTGCATTCTTCTCCTTAATACATCCAGTGGATACGTTATTGTCTGTGCAAATGTTCCTGCTAACGCCCCACATAATAGTTTTTGTGCTACCGGCGGTGATGTCTGATCAACTGGTGTGAAATATTTACGCAATACCTCATATGAATGGAAATTGAGTGCTACATACGGTGCTACTCCCTATATTTTTCATTAAATATATAATTATATATACCATTAGCTTTAGATTTTTGGTTATTCAAATTTTTATTTAACATTAACTTAATTATTAATCTTTGTATATATTACCAACAGGGTTGGTGCCAAGCCACGATATAATGCCATAATACCGCCCTCGGTAATATAAATTATCCTCATTGTTGACGCGATACCTGGTAATTTTTTCTGTCCTTCTTTACCTGATAATGTTGCTGATTGAACTGAAAGTCTTGTTCTTACTATATCTAATGGATATGTACATGCGACTGACGTTATCCCCGCTAATGCTCCTGCCGTAAGACGTCGTGGCGCATTTAGTTCTGTTTTTCCCTCTTCTAATAAAAGCTTTTGATCAAATCATTCGTTTCATTTAATCATTAATTCTTACTATTTAATTATATATATATAGATATATATGTGTGTATATATATATCCCTTTCTATCGTAATATTTCTAATTATATACTTACTCGTTTATATTTTTCATATGCCGCAAATTGTGTCGCACTATAAGGAACAATTCTTATAATGTTCGTCCCATTTCCCCTTAAAAATCCAATTATCCCTTCCTCACGCCACATTTTTGCTAATGTGGGGATAATTCCATTATAAGCTGCGTTTATTCCTTGTATCTAAATTATATTATGATTTCAATTTCTTATATTTACTGAAAAATTTATACCTATAAATTATTCTAACATACTTGAAATAGTATCTTCATTCTTTCTAAAGGGCTTACTACTGTTCTGCTTACAGCCCCCGCAATTCCTCCCTAGATTACCAGATCAAAAAAAAAAAAAAAAAAAAAAAAAAAAGTAATTGTTAACTACTTTTTTTATTAAAACATTCAAAAAATACAATTTACTTGTGTCACTTTTGAATAAAATCTACCGCGATCAAATGTTTTATTGCTGGCGACAGAATAAACGTCCAAGGTGCAGGTGTCAAGTGTGCTTCTGTCTCTTGAGACTTGAGTGAGGCCGAACTGCTTTCAGATACACTAGATATCCATCCTGTGAACCTTGAATCTGATACTTGGCCAATGTTATCATCTTTTTCATCATTATTAATACTAGTTGTTTTACTATTAATATCATTCGGTTTAAGCGAATGTATGAACATTGTGAAATACTTTAGTTAAATGAACGAGCGAGATAAGTAAATTATAGATCATGTGACTAGGTCTATTTTTATTGGTTTGAGTCCAATCATGTGAAGTTACATGATATGTATCAGCAAAAGTTTTGTATATAACGATAATATATATCTATCTTTAGCATATCTAAACTAAGTTTAAGGAAAAGAGGAATCGATGATCTTTAATTTTACTTTGCCTGAAAATCTGAATGTGAATGAGATAGATCTATTAAATCACAGTTGTGTAACAGTCCCGCCGGCAACTTTATTAGAATATACTGATACGTTGGGGTATCCAGTGTACTATGTAGATCAAGACTATATATAGTCCTATATGAAAATCGAATAGTAAAAATTTTTCGTGTAACAATCACGA